GTGGAGAGAGAGAGACAGGGTCTCCTACAGACAGAGAGAGACAGGGAATGTGGAGAGAGAGAGACAGGGTCTCCTACAGACAGAGAGAGACAGGGCATGTGGAGAGAGAGAGACAGGGTCTCCTACAGACAGAGAGAGACAGGGACTGTGGAGAGAGAGTAACGGGTATATGACAGCGAGAGACAGGGACAGATTCCACATTCCTTGCTCTCTACGCCAGCAGGCATGAATGGACATGAACACCCAGACCTGCGGCTCGGGAGGAAACGGACTGTTCCCTGCTCTCCGCCTGCATCCTGATCCTGTCCTGCAGGGACCTGCGGCTCCGACTGACACGTGACGTTTACAGGGTATGTTCCTACTTCCCGATGGCGACAGCACTGACACTATCACTGCAATCACAACGACACGCCACAGACGACAATATTCACAACTCACTGGGATCTGGGCTGCCGGACGACGAGTCTTCAAACGAGCTACCGCGGTTCAGCGGAGTCCCTGAGGGCACAACATGCCAGCATCACACGACACGCCAACACTATCCCCTGTGCCAGGGAGTCCAGGGGTCAGGGGTCGGAGGTCGGGGGTCGGGGGGTCGGGGGGTCGGGGTACCTGTGCTGTTGCTGCTGGCCGGGCTGCTGGCGAACTCTTCTGCACCCCCACCGCTCAGACAGAAACTGTTCTCGCCCAGCGTCCGTGCGGCTGACCGCCTATGCCCGCGGGCGGGCAGAGAGACAGGCAGGAGAGCAAGAGGAAAACCAAACACTCAGGCAGGAGGCTCATGCTTTCCAGAAACCCCGCCCTGCATCTTTGCAAGGAGCTCGTTTAAATATCAGAGACTCGATTGAGGGCAAAACCCAAACCAAAAGAACAATCAGAGCATCTGTGTATCTGTGCTGCACCCCGCTGTGGTCTGGCCCCTCCCCCTCCCCCTGTGGGTGGGCGGGTCCTACCGGCCTGTGGCCTCGTGATAGGCCAGCTCCAGCAGCTCGGCGGACGTGTGGGCGGAGTCTCTCTGGCCGCTGCCCTGGAGCTCGGCCATGTTCTGCCGGGTCTGGTGGTGGATCTGGATCGCCTCCCCGGACGGGCCTGGACAGAACCGCAAAGCACAGAGCTGCAGGGGGGGTACAGGCGTGGGTGGCCGGGGGTACAGGGAGGAGGCGGGGCGCGGGCCGAGCGTCTCACCGACGGGAAAGGTGTGCATCCAGCGGCGCCGGTTGGAGGTGAGCTTCATGGGCATGCGGGACGGGGCGAAGGGGTTGATGAGAGCCCGCTGCGGGGTGTACCCCCCGGGGCGCACGTGCAGCGTCGACTCCACGCTGCCCACGTGGAAGCGGCCCGGAGCGCTGGAGTCCCGCTGCGACTCCATCATCTTCTCCAGCAGCTCTGGGGGAGAGAGCCGGAGACTGAGCCCGGGGCCAGCCGGCCGGGCCGGGCCGGGCCGCCAGCGGAGCCGAGCCTCACCTCGTGTGCTGGTGTACCCCAGCGAGCTGCTGACCTCGTACTGCGCGGCAGGCGGCCGCGGGATGAGCAGGATGTTGGAGACGCGGCTCAGGCTGTCGTCCGACGCCAGGCTGCGCTGCTCCTCGGGCCCGGGGGCCCGGCCGGGCGGGGGGCTCCCCGACACGTCGCACGAGCTGGAGCTCTTCCTGCCGCTGGCCTCCCGGTCCCGATCACGCGCCGCCCTGCACGGGCCAGCGGAGCCGCGGGGTCACACATCCAAACCACACCTTGTGCAGACCTCTGCCCACCTGCTCAGCACACGCCTCCCTGTTCTCTCAGCACACGCCTCCCTGTTCTCTCAGCACAC